AGTCGTTTGTTGCCATGATTTTTTGATCATTTTATTACCTGTAACATGTCTGTGCCGTACCCAAATCAAGAATTAACGACCATTTCTACAGCCATTGCAAAGATACAGCAGAGAAAGATCGAGAGCGTCTATTTACCTCAGCAGCAACCAATCTCGCATTCTCGCATCTGCAGCGCTTATTTTGATCTTTAACGTTAGATCTTTTCTATTCTTGGAACAAAATTAATGCTTAAGGTTGATTCAGTGTTACTCTTAATGGGGAAAAATTCCCACACACAACATCAGCAATGCTACAATGACAAAGTTGCTTATATTTAACATAAAACTTTGATTGACAGAACGAATAAGACATATCCGCGTTGTAACAAATAAATAAAAGGTTTTTGGATTTTCCCCTTACTTCAAACGAAAGCTTTGTGGCTCATTATTATTATTATTAATAATAATAAAAGGCTATGCAATAAAACAGTACGATGACAAATTCACTTATATTAAACTTTGAACTTTTATTAACAATATGAATAAGGAAAATATGTTTTACCCGCATTGTAACACAAATAAACAGTCTTTGGATTTCCCCTTTCTTTAAGTGTAAAACGATTGTAGTTTGTGGTTCATTATCCTATTAATAAAACACATCAGCCATAAAATAGTACAATGGCAAATTCGCATAGGCCTATATTATTATACATTTTATTAACAAAATGAATAAGATGGATAGGCTATAGCCTACTTGTAACCCAAATAAAAAAAAATTTCCCCTCTTTTAAAACAAATGCTTAGTTTATGGTTCATCGTTTTATTTATTTTTATTTATTTATTTTTAATGAAAACAGCATCAATAAAGACAAACTCTCTTATATTAAACAAAGAAATTAAACTTTTATTTACAAAAGGTGCGCTTTTGGATCATAGTGTCTCGCATCACTCTCGTCACGTGACCAACCCCCATCCCACCCATCACCCGGTTTTATTTCTCAGCCCCCCCTGCTCAAAATACGTTCCCATGGCTATGTCCCTATATCAGTGTATCTGCTGAATAATTCGATACTGCTTTGTCCACAAAATAACAAGAAATCTTACAAAAACAACATAACATACATAAATCAACACCCAGAGTGCCACCAGTGTAGCCTGACTCCTCAAAAACGAGCCATCCAAACATATACACCTCTAGTACCATTCAAGAAATGGCTTCAATAGTAGGATGTTTGGTTACAGACTTGACACACCTAACAGCACCCATCTTCTGGTCTGTTTTTTTCTACTCATTAGGAACAAAGGATCCAGCAGTAGCTACAGCAACAAGCTACCCCTTTATTCCAAGGTGTATTGACACTCTCCCAGACTAGCAGGTCCGCCTGATAGCTACCCACGTCTACAATGGCCTTTCCTCAGATGTGTAGTGCACCCTGCCTTCCTCCCAACAGAAATTACTCCCGCTGAAATGTGCCATTCATCCCCACGAATCAGATGCTGTGTCGCCTGCCAGTGCTGCCAGCCATTGAAACCCAACTGCAAAGCTCCAAATGAAGATGTGAAAAGCCAATCTATGTTCCAGCAGGAGAGGGAAGTAATTTTCTCTTCCCGCCTCTCTATTGATCTCAGCATGGCTGATTCAGAGCCCTGCTGCTTTCTGGGCACAGGAAGTAGAGAGAAATGGCCTCGCTGGGAGGAGAAGGCAAACAATTGAAGAGAGACATTTTTTGTCTTACCTTCATTGCGCATTTAAAATCAAGGACAAACAAGCCATGATAGACACCTGATTGTGAAGAATCCGCTGTATTTTTGTGCTTCCTCTCACTGAGACACCACCTCATTGGGCATCATGCTACAAGATAAATTACTTATTGTTTCAGAGAATATCCTTGGTTGCTCTTTCTCAGGCATGTACAAAAGCTGGTTCCACGAAGCATAATGCATGAGTTTACACATCCTTGTGGGAAGTCATTTCACTGTACAGTAGTTTCTGACCTTATTCTGTGCTGAACTCTCAAACACAATGCAGGAAAAAAGCACAAGGCCGGAGAAGTATACAAATTAAAGCAACCATTTTTCAAGTTATAAAAAAAATAACTACTAACTTTCTTCCCAGAGATGACTGGAAGCACACCAACAGTCATCAGTGTGTAGCAGTAAATCTTCAGCTCACTGCCCGGGGGAAACAGCACCTTACCTTGGTGACAGATGTGCTGCTGAATAACTTTGGTAAAATGAGGAGTAAACAGCCAATGGGCTTGTGCCACATTTGAGACAGATTATCAAGGTGCCATGCTGCAGGGAAGTTAGTCCTTCAAGAGAACCTGTTGATCCAGCCATGAGGGGTCAGTCTATATGCTTGAGAATAAAATCTAGAATCTTTAGTTATTGCCACACAACCAGGGCTAGGCGAATTGGCTTTCATTTATCACAGAGACAGACACCCTGGAACAACACAGGTGCTGTGCTCAAAGGCATAAGGTTGATGGCTCATGGCATAATTCTGGTGTTAATTGACCCAGCAATCTTCCAGTTACCAGCCTTGAGCCTTAAGCCCCAAACACACTGCACGATTTCTGGCTGTCCCAGACGAAAGATTGGCATTGTGAAACAATCGTGGCGATTTCTGTGATCGTGGCTCCTAATCGGTGGTCCTGTGTCGTACAGTGAGAGAGGTTCAATGACGGCCGTTTTCACGGTCTTGCGACCAAAGATAGCCTACGATACAGCATGATCATCGCGCAGTGTGTTTGCTGGTACGATCCACGTTAACTGACCAACCAATAAAAATGTGACATGAAATCAACGTGACATGGCGCTAAAACATAAAACTGCTTCCCCCAAGCTCTTATCCCTTCCTCTTTCGCCGCTTCCACTTTTTTTCAGCACACATAAAAACTACAACTGCTAAAGTGTGATTTATCATGCTCTTTTTGTTTACCACTAGCGCATGCTGATGACGTTTTATTCTTCTATAGTAACGTGCGTCGTATCGTACGCCTCAATAGGGGTCATCATCGTACAGTCTACACACACGTCGTAGCCAAGTTTATCAGATCCAAGTCACACAGTGTGACATGCAATGATCTTATAGGATTGCAAAAATCATGCAGTGTGTTTTGGGCTTTAAAGATGAAGAAGTCATTTCTGAGCCACTAGCATCACCGGAATTGCACAAATGTATTTTCAAACAGGTTCTCTAAAAACGCATAGGATTTGCATCAATTTTTTTCTCACAATTTCTACCCGATAAAATAAAATGCAAAATAGATACAATTAAACATATTTTAGAGCTGAACATTATATGAGAGCTGAACATTATATGATTATATTAATTTGCATTATTTAATTTAGGTCTATAAATCACACTTTTAGACTTCCCACAAAATTGTTATCATAATATCACAAAGTTAGGTGACAATCTATTTTTTTTAGAGAGAGTTGGAACCAATATTCTTTAAAGAAAAAATAGTTGTCGAATGAGTTAGGCCTATATTAAAATGAAAACCATCCTGATTTTTAGTTGTTTAGGCTTATTTTAAAGCTTGTTTTGTCTTAAGTCATCTTTGAACATTTGCTCAGGCCCCCTGATTAAGAACCACTGTAATATGGTACTGATATTGGGCATCCCTTTTTTTTAAGCTTGGAATAGCACGAGGACCTATTCTGAAAAACATATTCTTAGCAAAAGCAAACAGTTTCAATCAAGTACTGCACTGAAGTACACAGACATTAGACTCAATAGTACTCTGCCATCCCACTCACTATCTGTAAGAATAAAATTGTGGAAGAGGGAATTTGTATATATGATCCATTAAATTATATATGATATCCCCTATCGAGCCAGGTTAAGGTTTGTATATCACCACCTAAGGGTCTCTATAATGCTCTGATGGAGGTGAGGAAGGGGGTTGTTTTGCCGCCTGGGGAACTGCGAGATAGAATGGACTCATTTGCAGCTACTCTTCAGTGGACACTGTCAACTGCATGCCAAGTGGAGCTGTGCACTGGAGGTGTCAATGTGAGCTCCCATATGGCGACAGACCTCTCTCTACTTCTTTCTCTGTCGTGCCTCACACATTCAGAAACTCTCCCAACCTGCGCTAAAGGAACAAGTGTCAAACAGTGAAGCATGACCAACTGTGAAATTGTAACCACTCATATTGATCTGAGAGTTGAGAATGACCCAAAGTTGTGCAAGGCTCAGTGCTGACACTTAGTCTTTCATTCCGCTTTAATGTTGCCTTTGGGTTTCTTGTTGAACCTGCACTTTAAAGTTAAAATGTTCAGTGCTAACAAATACACCTGCACTGTGCTTGTCGATATTTAAACTTGACTTTTCCCAAAGTGTAACCATCTCACTGTTAGAGCTTAAGGAGTTCTACCGACAAAAATTGCATCTCCGTTACTACTGATGAAAAAGAAAACTTTTGGAAATGATAAGAGAGGGGCAAAACGTGCATCATTATGAAAATTTAATTAAAACCAAAATGATCTAAATGTTTGACATGCAAAAAATAGGAATGCACAAACATTTTTTTAGTCTGTTTAAATGTTATATGTAATATTACATTTATATTTTGTATATCTGATTGATCTCAAAACTAAGCTTATAATCATTTTAATATATTAACATTTTTATTATATATTCAAAAAGGAAAGCAGCATTAAAGTTATCAAAAGTGACACTGTCACAGTAAAGACATTTATAATTTCTATTTTAAATAAATGCTGTAATACATTTGTGTGATAGTCAGAAGGTTGCTGCCATCTAAATGGTGCTCTGGCAATGAAATGGACTAAGATTTATGAATTTGAAACAAAACAGAACAAAATTCAAAACAAAAAGCAACAGCAACTATCTCTCAGACTTTCAATTAGCTGTAATAAATGTACCTTGTCATTTACTTCACTACACTGAAAATACTATTGTTTTATAGACATTACAGATTCAGCAAAGGGCTTTGATGCTTTAAGAAGCTAAAGGCTCATTTAGATACCACCGTGACCGTTTTGCTGCACTCAGTATTTTTTAAGATACAGTTCTATATCCTCCCACATCCCCTGCTCCCTCAGGCTAGCAGCGCATAGATAGGAGAGGTTGTAGAAGTTGATTAAAAAGCCATAAACCCAGGGAGAGTAGTGTGACTGCACTGTGACCCCTAGAGCTCAAACATGGCAAATTGAAAGCTGATAAACTCCAGCACAGCCCCTCCACAATAACCAGCAACGGAAAAAGAGGGTCAGCGGTTATGATGGTGCCTGAAGAGGAATTAACTCAAAGTCTGGGTGGGTACAGTATATATAGAGGTACTGCATGAAAAGATTTTACATGATACAGATTTTTGGACAAATCCGGGAGTATTACTAACCAGACACAGGAAATATCATGGTCCGTATACTGCCAAATATGTACCAATTCGGATGTATGTTACTGAGGTATTCTTCCGTGCAACAGCCATTTGTTGCCATGGCAAGTAATCCATTCAAAACATTTTTTTCAGGGGGACATTCACACCTTTGTGCCACTGTGCCCTCCCCTTTTGGTCATTCGCGTTAAACTGGATTGGTTGATTTGAAACTAAACCCACCCCTAAACCAGACAGCTATTGGGCCACTCAAAAGTCATTTCATTGGTCAACTTGTGATTTATTTCACCCAAAACCCTTACAGAAAAGTCAATATATTGGTTGCATTTAAAATATATCCCTCCCACAAACCCTACAGGTGAATGATGTGATTGGTTGCAGACCATGGGCAAAACGAAAAAATATATAGTTTAAGCAACAATTGTTTGTTTCTCTTTATTATGGGAAAATAGTAAATAGCATCCAAAACATAAAAACAGTCTGAAAACAATTTCAATTAAAGATTTCAAACAAATGCAGTAAATAACACATGAAATGATGTCCCAACAGTCTCCATTCCTCACTGTAGATCCTGTGTGCATCCACATCAACATCTTCCACATCCTACATTGAGCTCCACCATTTCTGTCCTCCGCAATGCTCTTTCTGTGTTTGTCAATGTTGAAAAGCAACTGCAAAACAACAGTAATGTTGACAATAATCACTACAGGCTAATAGCCTATTTAAAGTGGAAGGGAAGCAGTCAGTCAAGTTTTCATTATTTAGTAAAGTGATTTCCACTTTAATTAGCAATGCTCTTTCTGTGTTTGTCAATGTTGAAAAGCAACTGCAAAACAACAGTAATGTTGACAATAATCACTACAGGCTAATATCCTATTGAAGAACTTAACATCATGTCAATTTCTAAACTTACTGTTGTCTCTCTTCGGCTTTTTTGCCACAACTGTGATTGAGTGTTTCAGCTGGGCCTTTCCAGAGTGAAACTATGAAAACTTCTTACTCATAGCCTCATCATAAGTCTTGCAGGATACATAAAAAACATAAAATATGTTTAGTAAAGGAAAAATATTTAATTGAATAGGTGAAACAATACAAAAATGGATAATAAAACATTGCAACAACCTTCTGAACTTATGTTTCCATTTAAAATCTCTGAAGATGAGTTGACCCAGTCTTGTAAGCATACTGTAGAAAAGAGGAAACATTATCTGAGGAAAAATTACAGTATATAGTTTTGACATTAAGTCAAAGATATTATTTAAGATATTAGTTTTACAAAATATAAATAATCAGTCTTACCAGGTTTGTGTATGATGTTGAAGTGGATTTTTCCCATTGCTGTGCAAGCTTAAAATGTTTCAGTCTGTAGCTGTTGGTGTTCTCAAGACGTGTGACTTGAGATCAGGTCAAACACAAAAGTCTTTGTAGCAGGGGGTGGGGTGTGTGTATTTGTGGTGGATGGGGTCTGTGTTTGTGTGTGTGTTTGTGGTTGTGAGAAACCACTTCTCCTGATACAACAGTAAAGGACCAGGTCTTAATTTCTGTGAAATAATATGGAAAGAAGAATGAAACTGGGGAAAGAGAATGCCTTTAAATCATAAAACATACATACATATGTTCTCTAATGCTTCTGTCAAAAATATTAAGGCTAGCTATATTTGATTTTAATAATATTAAAACTAATTTGAGGCTGTTTTGCGAAACGGTCCTGGCTCACCCCCTCCCTCCACCTGAGAACACAGTAAGCACCTTAACTGCTGGTCATTAACATAAGAAAGGTCTGACAGCCACCAGTCCTCACAACCAGCAGTGTGTCAGCTGTATATGTCCATGAAACTTCACTGATTCCTGTATATGTCCGTGTACACCAGAGTATGTATTTCTGGAGATTTACTGTTCTGTGTAACTTGGCTCAGGTAATTTCCACATACATCCGGCAAACCTGAAATTACATGGCACTTTACCATGGCCAGATATGACCAGATTTGACCCTTTTCATGCAGTGAGGCATACTCATGAGATGCAACAGTTCACCTTACTTCTGCCACTGAAAATGGATTCTGTTAGACCCAGATCCCAGTGGCCCATTGACTGCAAGTTTTACAATCAGCAGAATGACAACTGAAATAAGAAACTCTGAGGGTAAAAATGCTAAAATACTATTTCCTGAAATTACTTGCTGAGACAATGGGTGATAATTCCTTTAAATTCGAATTTAACAGCCTCAGTGGAATCTGTCAGTATAAATAAAGCCACGGAATGAAATGCATCAGAGAACCTCTGATGGTAACATTGAGAACATTACATGGCATTGCTTTGGTCGCTTAAGTTACCCTTCAACTGAAAAGCAAAGTGAAACTTCAAATCAAAAGTTACAAGACTTCAAGAAGGCCGTGTAATTCCCTTGACAGAAAGTACAAGCACAAGAGTGCCAACTAGTTTGGCAACAGATTTAAAATGCGGCTGTACACTATGAAAGATGACAGGTGGAAAGGGAAGTGACAAGGTACTAATTCACCAAGGACATGGGGCAATCCTGTATTTACCTTATGCTCGATGCAGAAAAAAATCTAAATCCTAGTCCACTACATTGCATGCTAAAGGCACAGTATGACAGTGTCAAATGCATAATGTGAGGCTAACAAACAACTGAGACTTCATTTATTCCTTCTATAACTGATGCATTTATAAAAGACTTTCACGTTTGCTGGGTCACAATGTCAGTAAAGCTACTTTGAGATCATTAGCGTTCGAACGGTTTGTGAAATAAGTCAGCTGATGTGAGTGAATAATAGAGGTGAAAGTTGAATAATGTACTTCAGTCATGGCCAATTTAGCGACTGTGGCCTTAATCATTACCATAGCTACCAGCTAAAAAACCTAATTTAATAGTCATTTCAAATCACCACTGGTGATTCCCAGTCATGTGTAGAGCAGAAAGGTAGTAGCATGCCACACCTAAGCCCACGCAACATGTTTTATCATCAAGTATTTAAAGCTTCAAGAATAACCAAATGGCACTGTAACAACTGTGTCATGTAATAAAGACCTAATCGGTTTTATTAAAGCAGTCAGCGTAGTGTTACAGACCAATAGTTTAAAAATAGACATCAAACAGGAGGATGTGCCATATTGAATGTATCCACTGTAAGATGTTCTTAAGGGAGTATGGCATTTGAACACCTTTTTGTTTTTATTTAATTCAGTCCCTCCCTCCAGCCACTCTCTTTAGATGGGAGCATATGAAAGATAGACATTCAGCATAGAAGAACAGGCTATCCATCTGTTTCAATGGCCAAAAATGATGCTAATAAATCCTTTATTTAAACTGGGATTGTCCCCGTTAACGTAACTTTTGGCTCTGGGCCCAGTGAAGATGTGCCAACATTGAGAATTTATCCAATTTAATGAATTTCTGCTCCATAAATTGCTCATAAATGCCAGTGTTGTGTGAAATACCTGCCAGCGATACACTGACCCCTTTCTTAGCGAGCGCTTACCAGGTTGGCTCTCCTTAGAGGAATGAATCGATCCGAAAACAGTCAGAGTTAATTATAAATCAAAACCAGCAGACACTGACAGGGATACTGACGAAAAGCCCCCACTGCACAGTGCAAGTCTGCCTCAGATACTTTCAGTCAAAAATATTGCTCAAAAACATAAAACGATTCTCTCGAAATGTACCCTATAGACCCAAGAAAAGTAGCAGAAAGGAAACGTGTAAAAATAAAGGAGCCCAAATTAAGTGGTTGGTTAAAAGTGGACTTCACATACCTTTGAAATAAAAAAAAATTACCCATTCAAAACTGAATTAAAGGGCTAAAAACTACCTTAGGTAGACAACAAGGTCACATTAAAAAGCAGAAAGACGATGACTCAAAACTCAAATTACCACCACTAGAGAGGGCGACCTTCACGTTTAAGACCAATAATGAAAGAAAAGCAATACACTATTATAATTATAGAGAAAATTATATTTTACCATGCATGCTAAAATATAAGTAATTGGTGCAACTAATTGATGTTACCGAAACAAAAACTTCTCATGATATCAGCAAATTATATAATGTTACCAAGCTGCCAAATTTAAAACATTTGCAAGCAGAATTCACAACTAAATACAACAAAAAAATATAAAAAACAGTTTGCAAGACATAAATGCATGTAGGCCTATGTTTAAAAAAAATACAAGATATAAAACTGGCCCAATACAGCAAGTGACAGCTTCATCGAACTGAGAGTTTTGGCCCAAAACTCTCTCACTAATGGCCTCCACACTATCTTTATTCTTGAGTCCTGAAATGTATTTATAATAACTACGCATTTGCATTGCAAGTTGTCTTTATACCCTGTTAAGGTTCTCTTGCTATTGCTTAAACCACAATTATCTTTTGTCCCTCTCGTTCACCTCCTCTACAGCGTACAAAAGTCGACATGGCTTGTGTCTGAGGCTGTTTGCCTCTTAATCACAGAGGAGAGAGGCCATTAGGGAGGTGCAGCGGTGAGCAGGATTTCACAAAGGAAGTCATTTGGTCATTATCAGGGATGAAGTTAAATGAGAGTTGGGTTTACTAATGAGGTGGTTTTATTACAGAAGAGACACGAGGCATTATAAGCATGCAATGGATGGGACTGATGTTTGCCAATCTCTTTCTTTCCTTCTTTCTTTCTCAGGTTTATCCCGCTAAAGGCAAACCATGTAGCTCCAAAGCAATCTCAGAGGGGTGCCATCACATTTCTCTGATGGAAAAATCCTTGTAATGCCATAACACATCACATATGCAATATTTACAACTCTGCACAGAAGGCAAACAATTATTGCAATGGTAAACGAATGGTAAATTCAGCTGCTGTCTGTATAGATTTCACCATAAGTGCCTCTGAATGGCATAAATGAAAGTTGAGAGCAAATTGACTATCAAATGAGTTAATTAGACACCTTAGTGATGAAAAATAACAAGTGCGGAAGAGAGAAAAATTTGTGCAAAAAGTTTGTCAATGCTTCTGGAAATATTTCAGGGCATCTGTTGGGGTTTTCTCATGCACATCACGCATTGTGAGTAGTACAACAAATTGCTCAAAATGAGCAGGAGCAAAGCACCATGTCTAATCTAGCAAAAGTGTGTACAATTAGTCAGAGCTGACTGATCACCTCAGACAAATTAAACAATTGTATAACACAGTTAACAATCTCCAGTCCTTCTGTTTGAATGCAGTGACAAAATATGTCCAGCTGACAATATTATTCAAGTTTATATGGTAAATGAACCTACAACCATTTATGCTGTGATCAGTGGTGGAAAGAGTACTGAAAATTTGTACTTAAAGGGATAGTTCACCCAAAAATGAAAATACTGTCATTAATTACTCACCCTCATGTCGTTTCAAACCCGTAAGACCTTCGTTCATCTTCGGAACGCAAATTAAGATATTTTTGATGGAATCTGAGAGCTGTCTGACACTGCATAGACAGCAATACAACTGAAAGATTGAAGAATGAAGAATTTTCATTTTTGGGTGAACTAACCCTTTAAGTACAAGTACTGTTACACTGCTGAAATAATACTCAATTACAAGTAAAAGTACTGGTGCCAAAACAGTACTTAAGTAAAAGTACAAAGTACTCTTCTCAAAAACTACTCTGAGTACTAGTTACTTTTTAGCAGCCGATATTTAATGAATTACCAAAAAACATTCATTCATATCAAAGATCTATGTGGATAATAGCTACTTTGAACAAAACCCACTTTTATCTTATTGACAAAGTATGTGAATTAGTGGTCATGATACAGGAATTTCTAACTTCAATACCTTGAAAAATATCAATATCAAAATACCCGTGAACCGGTTAAGAATATCTGCTTGTTACATCTGATATGACGCTTCACTGCTTCTGGGTCCTAACGCTCTGCCAGACGCCCCCTCAAAAAACAACAACTGTGCTAATATACACCCACAATGTCATGTAATACTTAAAAATTATAACCCTAACCTTTATCTTCATACTGAAATTCCAGATGGCACGACAGTGATTCAGCTAAAATATTAGTGTCTGAGACACTGTGAGCACAGAGACTGTAGTGTGCACAGCAAATTTTTAAATGGCTAGCTTAAATATGTAATATTAATTAAATAGTGCTCATAAATGGCTGCTGAGACTTGTATTCTCAAGTGAAATGAGTAGAGGCATGGACCCGGAAACAGCAGTCCTTACGTCATGACTTCACAAGAGGATTCTCCCAAAGCCGTCAAACTGACGTCATCAGAGCCAGAACGCCATTCCAGAGTGGAAACAAATTTTCAGTTTTTGATTAAAGATTATGATGGCCTACAATTTTTTTTCCCCGGTGTATTGACTTGCACGGTTTAAGTGTTCACCACAAGACTAGTAATAATGTGCACTAAAAAAAGTAAGTAGGATCATTTTTGATTTCATGACTTTAATCATTTTCAATACCATTGGCAAAACTATACTGTATACTGCCAAATAGATATAAAAAAAAAAAAATTTTCTTCCATTTTTTGTCCAGGCAATCATTATTTCAAGCTTTTTTAATGGTTTTTAAATGGATCTAAGTCTTCTAAAAAGACAAGTTTGCTTTATATGATAAACAGATTTTAATATAGGCTTTTATTTACATACATATAAACATTGATCAATTAACATTACAAAAATCTCAATCTTACACATTTGCTCAGTCTGTGTATTTGTGTCTTTAAAATAGGGTAACTTTGTTGCAAAAGCTTACAGCACAAGGAAGCATGATTTAAAATTAAATTTCAAACTTAATTGAATTTACAAAAGAAAGACAACCGCACAGTCAGTAATAAAATAAAAATGATAAAACAAATGACCTCAATTCAGTTGAGGAATTCAATATATGACAACACTGAATTTTTATAGGCAGTGTTTTAAGAGCCATATACAGTGGGTATGGAAAGTATTCAGACCCCCTTCAATTTTTCACTCTTTGTTATATTGCAGCCATTTGCTAAAATCATTTAAGTTAATTTTTTTTCCTCATTAATGTACACACAGCACCCCATATTGACAGAAAAACACAGAATCGTTGACATTTTTGCAGATTTATTAAAAAAGAAAAACTGAAATATCACATGGTCCTAAGTATTCAGACCCTTTGCTCAGTATTTAGTAGAAGCACCCTTTTGATCTAATACAGCCATGAGTCTTTTTGGGAAAGATGCAACAAGTTTTTCACACCTGGATTTGGGGATTCTAGCATACTTACATTGTAAAGAAATTAAAGTTCCATTTTTGATAGTTGAAAGACTATCTGATGCATTTCACTTACAGCCAATTAAATTTCCAGTAGGATTTTCTTCGGTCAGGCTTGGACCTATTCAACTTCTGACAAAGTTTAATCCAGGAGCAAAGAGGAATAATTTCTAGCACGGGAGATCGCGATTGCAGTTGCACACAGTCTGAGTGTGCACACGCAACATCAGAGTGAGAGGACAGGCAGTTCATTTGTGTAAATTAGGCCTATTTGAGAGCTCGCGTCCAATTTTCTGCGATTACATGACTGTGTTCTCATGTTACAATAAAGCGCTCACCACATTTGCACGGGAATGATTAAAATTATGCGGAATATCTGCAATCTTGCGCGGACATTCAGACAGGAGGCGGATGCGTGTCAAACTCGCTGTCGGAGAGGAAAGAGAGACGCAGCTTGTATCGGTGTATATTCGGTAGATACTGTGGAAAATTAGTAATGGAAACGTGTCAGATATTTCAGTATAGGTATCAAAATATAGATATTTATGATAACACTACCATGTAGGCCTAGTTTGTTTCTCCAAACTTTGAGTCCATAAATTACGCTGAGCTCCCTCGCGAATCAGCTCTTCAACCCTGCTGCAGTGGCGGCTTTTCCCGGTTCAGATATCAGGGCTTTTATTGGTCCCTTTACGATCGGATATCTTTATTGGCTACTGAAGTGCTGTCAAGGTTTGAATATCAATTAAAATTGCGGGCATACTCAGAAACGAACTATGATTTAAAAGTAACGAAGTAGATTATTTTGCTTAATTTGTACTTAAGTACAAGTAAAAGTAGGCTACAGCTTTAAAAATATACTCAAAAAAGTACAAGTAACGTTACCCGAAAAAAACTACTTAATTACAGTAACGTGAGTAGTTGTAATTCGTTACCTCCACCACTGGTTGGGATGTAGGAATACCATTCATCTGATAAAAGATTATAGACAGTTCATGATCTGTCCATTCCCCCTCTCAATTTTATCACAGTTTTTCAGTGCAGTTTGCACTCTGCATTTAGCCAAAAACTAATTTTTTAAAGGTGCATTCAGTATGTTTTGGTTGATGATTAGTTGGTTCTTAATCCTCTGGTTATGGTCTATTTTTTTACTTTTATGTTTATGCTTTGTACAGCACCTCATAAATTCATACAGTAACATCAGTAACTTGACAGTATAAAGAAAATTGTCATATGACTGGGTGCACCTTTACTGGTTTAGTAAAATAGAGCCAAAGACAGGCCTCTTCTGAAAGCACTAATTCACAACCATAAACGGAAGCACTTATTGCTAACTCTATGAAAACAACAGGTATAAACTTAAGAACGCTAATTAAACTTCAAAC